AAGGGAGAATGGTAATGTCCCCAACTGACCAAGCTGAACAGCACTGGCTGCAGGACTAGAGCTTGGCCCTAACAAGATTTAAGGTTTGCATCAATATTTATACGGTTTAACTACTTAGCTGGATCCAAAGAGTATGTGTACACACACACAAACCTACCTAAGTCTTGTGCATTACATTACTTATTACCAACTAATTGATGAGCCAAGAACATGATATTCACACTACAAACAACGTACACAAAGGTGTAGTCATTTTGGCACACACACAAGGCTAACAGTCAGTTAAGAGGACACGTACTAGTGCAACACGTTACACTTGCTCTATTATGAAGGTAAAAGTTTTGCTTTTGGCCAGTGCAAACAGAGAATTCTTATTCACAGATGTCAGGCACATGCCCCCAGAATACATGCATCACTGAAGGCAGGGTTATGTTATGCTTTGAATACCATACATGCAGGCACAAAGAATTAAAATTAATTTTATAACTATGAAAAGCCTTAAGGAAAAAAAACCTATCAATTACATCTTTAAAGTTTTGGTTTTAGAGGAAGATACATGAGGATTTTCTCTACAAATGGTTACAGATGGCTGGGATACCTACCACTTGCAAGACAAATCCACAGTAGTCATTTGCCTTTTTGTTCTGCCTAATTCCAGCTACCATGAAAAATATTAATTGAGCCAATAGAGGGGAAATATGGATGAATAAAATGCTAATTTGCGAATAAAGCTTTGTATAATGATAAAAAAACTGTCAGAGGAATTTTTAATTTAGGTAAAGTCAGTAAAATACATACTTCAATACAAAATATCTTTGAAGGACCATCTTTATGCTGATAAAAAACACAAGCTGTAATATGTGAGTAGTTTTGAAATTGTGCTTCCCCTTTCCTAAATGAAAAGTAGATAGAAATATTGTAGGTTAAAAAAGAAAATGGGGCTAGATTTTAGTCACTGTCCAATATTCAACATTTCCCTTGGGATTCCAAATATTTAATTATAATTAATGACAGGTGTTCACATAGGACTGTTGAGAGAAATTAAGTTTTTTAATGTTTGCTTCTTTGTAACACTATTGTGATAACTTTGATAACCACAAAGAGAAGGGCAGTAATTTTTATTTTTGGTATTTCCACACTGATGGTTGCAAAACTCTCAACTGAAGCTCATGGAGTGACTAGAGGGAATTAGTAAGCAAGCACTAACAAGAAAATCCCTTTTGACTTCTGCATATTTAATTTTTAAAATAGGTTATTTTTAGAAAATTATTTGTAAGGACTATTGATTTGCCTCAATAAGGGTTTTTATTTCTTGTCCTCAATCTTGCAAAGGTTTTGATGGTCAGGTAAAGTCTCAGTGGACATACAGGTAAGATTGTGTACTGCCATAGTATTTAAATAAAGTTTGAGTTTGTTCTGTAAGGCAGTTATTTCTAAAAGGTACCCAAACTTTCTGATCACGTTTCTTTTGGTAGCATGTTCTGCAGTAATGAAAACAAAGATAATTAGGAACAACAGGGTTTTATAGAAGTTGTCGCATAGGACAGTGCTGCATAGTGTAAGCTGCTGAAAATCAGGCTGGAAATTTAGATAGAATGAGTTGAGATGCCCCCAAAAAAGAGATGAGAGTAAACCTTATTAGGTACCCATGTCCTTACTTCAGACATTAGTTATAGTCTGCAGCATGGTGCACAGGAAGACAATATGCTCTAGAACAATTCAAGGGCTGAAAATGGGGCACCTCCTGCACCTTCCCAGCTGTCCCTTCCCATAACCTTTGAGGTACCAGCTGTACTTACTGTCCTGAGAGTTGAGGGAATAGTAGACGAATAAGAAAATGTACTTTGCCTCATTCCCAAGCAGGCCTGGAACTTAAGAGCTAATAATCAAGCTATTATTTAGACTTCTAATTTCTGACAGATCTTAGTATGAGCCTAAGTAGGTGGCTGAACCCCTAAAACACATAACCATTATCTTTCACACCAAGTATAGTAAAAGAGAAAAATCTTTACAAAGTACTATCTTTCCAACCACAACTTTTCTTTGTAGCTGTCATATCAGAATGACTTCTTTTCATGCACCACTTTGAGGTTTAAAACTATCAGACTGTAGAAACGAACAAGAAACAAAGAAGTGTGTTCCTGAAAATAAAATACTGCTATCTGAACCATCTTCTCGGGTCCTGATCCCAAGCTTACCATTCCATTGAAAGAATTTCAAAGTTTGCATCACGTCCTTACAAAGTGCTTTGGTTCATGGCAGGGATTTTATAATGCACAAGCAGCGCAAAGTAAACTCTGGCAGAACCCCAGCACGTTCCATCAGCCTCTTTTAAGTGAACAGAGTAGCTCAATTTCTAGACAGTGTCAGCTTGGATCTGTCTGCACTCTCAATTCCTTTGCATGCCTTCTATCTTATGAATGTCCTGGTCTCACTCACTTTGAACTAACAACTTAAACCTAATTATACCTTAAAACTTTCCTAAACAATCACTCTTCCTACGTGGCAACATTATGGCATTATTGACACTCTGTACTTGGGTACCTGAGAAAGCCTGTCCCTTGTGCCCCTCAGGTTCAGTGTCACCTGATGTGCCAGAAAAGGCAGCTAGCTAGCAACAAACAGCCAGACCAACAGTGTGCTGACAGGGCTCTGCAGAAGGCTGGACTTCACCCTTTATTCAGGCTGGGTCCAGATCTTTTTAGTTACCACTGAGTTATGAGTCAAGTCTTAAAGTCAATGGGATAAACGGGGGCACTGGTTTTACCTGTAGCTTAGCTGAAGGCTTTATCAAGTGTTAGAGGCTCAGCCTTTTTATTCATAAAAAAACAGGACTGTCCTGGAACTTTTGTCAGATCACAGGCACTGGTGACATAGAAGAAGGTTCTCTACATTTAGACAGTTCACTACCATGCCAGAATAATTCTGTCATTGTTGGTATCAAGTATGCTAATTTCTGCTTCGGAGTGTGACAGGTCACCAGTGCAACACACAAATCCTTCATTCCGTGGACATTTTTCTTCAAGAACACTGGGTAACTCTTGGAAAGGGTTCACAGAGTTGGATGCTTCTCATCCTGAGCATCCTTACATACACCAAAAATCTTCCAGAGCTGTCCATGGGAAAAGCCGTTTAAATATTTACAAGAACGTGTGCTGAGTTTTGGCAAACTTCCCTCCCTCTTAAAAACAAAAGCCAAAATAAATTATAAACAAATAAAAAGATCTCCAAGTCCACAAGGAAGTCCTTGCCTTTTGTTTGCTATTGTTGTTTTGATTCCAGGATGATGTATGGGCTCAAAGGGTTATTGAAGGCAAAGTTACAAGAAGGGCTACCACGCAATGTCAGCAAAACACAGCATGAACAAAGTAAGGGCTGAAAACCAGTGCTCCCTTTCCATACATTGGCCAAATACAAACTGTTGACCTGCAAGGCACATGACAGCATACACTGCTCACCTAAATGTATGTACTGAGTGGGATGCTGATACAGGAGGGGAGAGAGGGAGAGCAATATATCTATTAACCTTTGTTCAGAGTTGAACATGGAAATCAGTGCATGATTTTTGAAAGAAAGCAAAGCAGAACTGCAAGCAGTTGGTTTTGAATACTGAGTATCTTTCATAACTGTAGAGAATCAGGGTAATACATCAGGTACTTGTTCAGCTCCTGCAGAAAACTGGAGCGGCATTTTCTCCACTTTTCAGCCAATATTAAAAAAAAGCTTATTTTTATTCCAATTAATTTCTTTTGGTATTCTGGGCCCCAGGAAGGTCACACTCAGTTGCCTGTACCTTAAGCCTGTGGGACTGATTCTCCCGGTAACAGTGGAAAGCTGTCCCAGCAATACTATTACTCACAAGTTGGGCAGCAAAAGTGAACAAAGAATCCAAGCCCTTGGCTTAAAACAAATCTAACATAAAAAGTAGCCCACTTACAGTGGCATATTTTTTGTGGGCAAAACGCACCTAATTACATACAATTGTAACTGTTCTTATTCCAAGGGGCTATAAGATGTCCCTACATATATTAGAGCTTAAAGGAACTACGTGCCAACATACGTGCACAATAACATTCATTTAATTCATTCATCTGATTGGCAGTGTTTAGTCAAAACCAGTATTTCAAAGCATTATTAGTTTAATGCCCCCTTCATTTCCAATGTGAGGCAGTGCAAACTTGAAAAGAGACTGCAAAAAGCCTTAACAGACTTTCTTAGTAATGTCTTGTTCCTCACCTCTCAGGTTAGTACAATAGCTCCATCCAAATCCAGCCAGTCAGAACCATGCTACGGTACACACAGTAACAAGCACAAAGTACAGACAGGAGGAAAGTAAGGGCTGGTATTTTCCACCTCTTTCTGTTGACATAAAATACTTTAGAACCTATACTGTCCTAGAAATAACTTCTTTTCAGTTTTTCCATGAGTGGTGTATGACAATTACAGGATAGCACCTACTATACTACAACCACTTACTCCCCAATAGTATATTGTTGAATGTTTTAAGGAAAGTGCCAGATCCCATATAAGACATTTAAAAAAAAATCCAAAACAATAGTCAAACAGCATAAGTAATAGGATATTATTCAGAAAGACTGCTATGAAAGACCCTCTTTTCAAGAGGTTCTTTTTGGCATCCTCAGGGCAACTGGACATCTAGGAATGTTTGAGATACTTTGCTTGAACGGACAAAGTGTGGTATAACTGCTCTTGACTTCGGCTTTGTTGTTTGTTGGGTTTTTTTGTCTAAATCTCAACAAAATGATGTATTTTTGTACCTATATATTTATTTATTTTTGCCAATATATGCATGAGGAATGTAATGAAGTGGCATTGTGCTGCTAGTAGCTCAGCAGATGTTGAAATCAGTTCCAGTTCCTGAAGACAACTTCTTGACAATATAGTCTCAACATTCACAATAACCAAAATGTGGGATTCATAACATCATTCTTACAAATATATACTCTATCCCCCTCTGTGTTGTAAACCCTCAGCCTTACTTGTTTCCTTGTACTTTATGATCGTATGTGCCTGCATGCTTATAACCAGATACATATCCTGAGTTATCCACCAGATCTTCTCGGCCAGCTCTGCCTTTTCCTTTCCCACTGGCATCAAATCTCTCTTTGTGAGAACCCGTGAATTTTGAAGTATCTGTAAGGCGTGATACAGTTGGAGATGAAACGGTTTTCTATTAAAGAAACAAAAAAAAAACACACATCAGAAATCAATTATTCTTAATACAGATATTTGTACATGTAACCAACACTTAAATATTTGCTAATGGCAAAGACTATGTAAATACTCATTTCCAGCAAAAGGAGACAAAAAATATTTGTTTCTTGCCATTACATACAATGACAATCATCATATAGTAAAAAAGAAAATAACACAAATTATATCAAAACCTTTTGGAAGAGACTTTGAGTATGAGATACTTCTGATTAATAATAAAGTTCTAAGCACCAAAGATATGAAGGCGGCATAGGAAACAGCCATGTTCAAAATCCATTATGTCAACATTGAAGTATAAAAGCCTGGCTGCATCAATACAGAAAAAGTAAACCAACACAGCTAGCTCTTAAAACATACAGTTTTCTTGTTCACATTGACTTGGTAGCACTTTATAACCAGGAAGACTCTAAATGAAAGACAAAAGTAATATTCAAATATTCAAATTATATCCAAGGGCAATGTGAGAGAAAATTGTGCGCAGGTATCCCAGATACCAGCAGCAGAAGGATTTAGGAATATTTATTTCTGAAAGCCAAGAACACTAACATGATGGTGCTATCTACAGCGGGTATGAAAAAATGTGCTGCTTTTTCCTCTCTAGACCTTTTTAGAGGCTTAGCTGCCCCCCCCTCGCAGGGCCTCCAATGTTGTCTGTAAGAATTTTATCTTTTCAAGGAGTTAACCTCTCTGTAAGGCAAGAGAAGAAAAAACATCAAACTGTCAATGGGAAGATCTTCTGTCCCAGGCAGCAAAGCTTCCTTGAGTGACATAAATTCCCCCCTCCTTGAATAACTCTTCTGAAAAAGGTCTTCTACACTTATAGGCAATTTTTCAAATAGTGATTAAACTTACCATTACAAATTCTAAGAACAGCAATCTGTCCTGAGAATTAATTTGGCAATGGAAAAGGCAGTCAACCAGAGTTTCTGAGAGTTCTCTCTAGATGGGACAATACAGTATGTGCACATCTAGGTAAAACTGATTTTCTGTAAAGTAGTGGTATTTAAATACAAGGAAAATAAATATGTGTTAAGTTTAATTACTATTTCAAAAAGAAAGACTACAGCTTCTGCTCCTTTATTTCAAAGGCATGGTGCAAAAGGTATGTAATACCTCAATTTGTGCCTCAATACACAAATTACAATAAAAATGCATGAGAATTTTTGTACAGTTACATATCTGGTAACATACATAAAACCTATGTGAGCGTAATATGAAAGGAAATGCATACATATTAACACGTAAGAAGAAACAGTCAAACAAGGAGGGATATTCCCAGGAAACTATTCCCAGGATACCATTCCCAGTGGTAAACTTGAGAAATGTGCTGTTTATATCAAGACACCTGCATTCTAATAAAACCATAACACAGATACTTATCAGAAAATCGAGGTGTATCAACATCTTGTTGCTATCAGCAAGATGATAGTAGCGAGTCCGCAGTATGCCACAAAAGCCTTTATGTTTCCTATTAGTCTCCTAGGAAAGTAGCAACATATTTCAGACCAACAAAGAAAACTGAGGGTGGGTAACAGCTTGGCAGATTAAAAAATATGATCTTTTTGTCCCAAAAAACAGTTAAACAAAACCTAAAACCCCAGTACAGGGAGAGTGCAAATCCAGAGCAAAAGCTGATGTGATCCCGCATCCTGTTGTCTTTCAGCCCAGGATGGATCAGAAGGCTTCCTGCATCACAGGAGCCACAATGTGTGAAATGAATATTAAGGCAGTAGTTGCAAGGCAAATATTCTATATCTCATAATTGATTTTTACTCAGTAAGAACTGCAGCCTTTTCCTAAGTTGCATGGAAAATTACTGGTGTGCCCCTTCCCATATGTGATGGAATATTACAATTGAAAGATGACAATTCCTGTTGGTTTGCTGTTGGCAAAATTTCTATGAAATGGGAGGTTCACTTTGTTTCCAACAATACAAAATTCAAGCAATTTTAATTCCTTGTACATTATGCTCTCACTCCCTGAACTGATACATCTATCATCTATAAAAGATCAGAGACAATGAGATGCCACTACAAGGCTATGCAGAACACCCCATTTCTCATTTTTCTTCTTTGTTTTCATCATTCTTATGATGAATGCATATCCATTAAAAAGAAAATACTACTTTCTCTTTAAGGTTGTGTGAACATTACACACAACAAAGGTCAAGTGCAATATAAGCATCCTTTTAAGATGCTTTCATTCAAAAAAGCCTTTGTAAATACAGAGTAGAATACACAACGACTTCATATCCATCTTGGACTCCTCAACCAGAACCACTAGTGGTACTGTATATTACAGAATCATAGGAACGTTTAAGCTGGAAGAGATCTCCAAAGGTCATCTGGCCCAAACCCCCAACCCTCACCTAGAGACAGTTGTCCAAGAGCATGTCCAGACAGCTTTTGCATATATCCAAGGATGGAGACACAAGAAATTCCCTGGGCAATCTATGACAGTGCTTGATCACCTTCACAGTGAAAGAGAGTTTCTGGATGTTTCAACAGAATCTCCCATGTTTCAGTTTGTGCCCATCACCTCTCGTCCTGTCACTGGGCACTACTGAAAAGAGTCTGGCTCCATCTTCTTTTGCACCCTCCTTTCAAGTATGGATGAGATTCATCCTTGAGCCTTCTCTTCTCCAGGTCAGATACTCCCAGCTCTCATAGGAGAGATACTCCAGTCCCTTCATCATCTTTATGGTCCCTTGCTGGACTCTCTCCAGTAGCTCCACATCAGTCTTCTACTGGGGAGCCTAGAGCTGAACACAGCACTCCAGACGAGACATCAACAGTGCTGAGCAGAGAGGAAGGAATATCTCCCTCTGTTTGCAGGTCAATACTTCTAATGCAGCCCAGGATACCAGTAGCCTTCCATGTGGCAAGACCACCTCTCTGGTTCACATTCAAACTGGTGTTCACCGGGACCCCTAGGTCCTGTTCTACCAAGCTGCTTTCCAGCTGGGTGGCCCTCAGCATGTACTGGTGTGGGGGCTTGACTTTGAAAATCTCCTTGTTGAGCTTGCTGAGATTTCCTGTCAGCCCATTTCTCCACCCTGTTGGGTCCCTCTGTATGGCAACATCTGCATGACCTATCAGCCACTCCTCCCAGCTTTGTGTCATCAGCTAACTTGCTGAGAGTACTCTCTGCCCTAACATGCAGATGATTAATGAAGATGTTAAATGAGACTGGACTCAGTATGGTCCACAGGGGTACACCACTAATTTCCAGCTGCCAATTATACTTTGCACTGTTCATCACTACCCTCAGGGCCCAGTCATTCAGACAATTTTCAATCCACCTCACTGTCAGCCGATCCAACCACTACAGCACCAGCTTGAGGGGCTGTGAGACTCTTATGAGAGACCATACCAAAGGCCTTACTGAAGTCCAGGTAGACACTATCCACTCCCCTTATGTACTGGGCCAGTCATTTAATTGTAGAAGTTTACTAGGTTGGTCAAGCATGACCTTCCCTTGGCAACGCCATGCTGATTAGTCCTGATGACTTTCTCGTCCTTCATGTGCCTGGAAATTATTTCTAGGATTAGCTGTTCCATTACTTTCAGTGTCCTAAGGTTAGAAGTTTATTTATAAAGATTCCTCTACGAGTTGATAACTTCTTTTTAGTGAACTGCCTTTATGAAGTGAATGTGCAACCAACTCTTTTTATCAAAATCCCTTTTCTGTTTCTGAACAACAAAACCAACTATGCAGACTAAACTGGAAGTTGAGAAAAAGGGAAAAAAATTAAAAGGGTAGCTGTGAGCTCATTCTTCTGTGCAACCCATCTGCTCATTATTAACTGCACAATGGTACTGGGAGGCAAATAAAAAAAGGGGAGTGGGAAAGCTGACCATCCCTCCTAAGTGAGGAGAAATATAGGAAGAAATATAGTGAAGAGCACAGAAGGTTGGATGAAGACAGTTTCCATGTTAGCAGGTCAGTGCTCTTTCTTCTTTTTCACAATGAATCACACACAAATGATTTTGTCTTGTCATAATGCAATAGCTTGAACTGTTTACCTTCTAGAGTAAGTTATATAATCTCTCTAGTTACATTATTCTAAAGGCAATAAATTCCTTCAGGTCAACCTCCTCCCTTCCTTTCTGTTGAGATCACAGAAGCCAGCATTTTCATTCTCATTCATACAGTTAACCAAAGTTTTCATATCACAGAAGATGCACATGAACTTTTTTTTTTTAAACTTTCTCCTAAAAGAAAATATTTACTTAGCAAAACAGAATCACATACAATCATTAAATGTTCCAAAATGAGTTTATACAGTGAATCAACCAAAGGAATTTTCCAAAAATAGCAAGACTTCTCTGTTCTCCAAGATCAACCATTCTTCTCTTCACTGTTATTTCCATTAACACAAGCCAGTAGCTATAGTTTCAGTGTCTTGGACTCTATCAAAAGAAGAGATCACTGACAGAAGACATGTTTATTCATCAAACTTTTTTTTACTGGTATCTTGCTCTGGGCCACTGTGCTCTCCCAAATCTTTAAAAAAATATTTTAAAAATGGTTTTTGCTCCTTCGCTGTCAGTTTCCAACCAAAGATGTGGTCACATGACCTCCAAGTTCACGAAAATATCTCAGTTGAGTCAGGAAAGGTATGTATGCCTCTCACCTCATTTAACTGAAACTCCTCACACACTAAAATCTCACTGAGAAGATCATAACAGGCCACAGCCTCAGGACCAGCTATGGGGAAAATAAGAAGCCATTTTACTTGGACCAGAAGATTTGCTAATTTAAAGCAATCATGCATTTCTTCTTAGCAATTCAGTATTTTCCCTCACCTTGTGTCACTGTCTACAGAAATGTGCTGCTAAGACAGCAAGGGTCTTAGAGCATGCAGCACACATGGAAAAGATGACAGAAGGGTGTTTATTCAGACTCAGAAGAAAAAAAGGAGAAGCAAATTTTATTCCTGTCCTCGACAGAGGG